CCTGTATCTCTAACTCACCATATGTAAACCCCTTTATTACAATGCACACCTGTATCTCTAACTCACCATATGTAAACACCTTTATTACAATGCACACCTGTATCTCTAACTCACCATGGGTGGTTATTTTTTAAAATGATCCTTAAAGTCGAGTTGATTTCTGTTATTAGATAAATGTAGACTAAGTGAAATATATATTGAGTTTGTCCCCCTTTAGTGCTTGACGCGATCACAAGTTTCTAAAAGGAATCAAGAGCAGGCGATGGCCGGGGGGTGGGGGGGGGGGGGGGGGTGGGGGACTCACGTTCTCGTAATACCCTCGCCAGCTCCTCGGCCTCCTCCTCTTTCAGTTTGTCAACAAATCCAAGTCTGCTCGTCTTCTGGGTTCTGATCGGTGACCTGGGGGAAAAAACATCGATTGGTGTAACCAAAACATGGTGTGTTTTGTAACCAAAACATGGTGTGTTATGTAACCAAAACATGGTGTGTTATGTAACCAAAACATGGTGTGTTATGTAACCGAAACATGGTGTGTTATGTAGCCAAAACATGGTGTGTTATGTAACCAAAACATGTTTGCTATGTAACCAAAACATGGTGTGTTATGTAACCAAAACATGGTATATTTTGTAACCAAAACATGTTGTGTTATGTAACCAAAATATGGTGTGTTTTGTAACCAAAAAAATGTTGTGTTATTTAACCAAAGCATGATGTGTTATGTAACCAAAACATGGTGTGTTGTGTGATCAAAACATAGTGTGTTATGTAACCAAAACATGGTATGTTTTGTAACCAAAACATGGTGTGTTATGTAACCAAAATATGGTGTGTATTGTAACCAAAATATGGTGCGTTTTGTAAACAAAACATGTTGTGTTATGTAACCAAAAAATGGTGTGTTATGTTAACAAAACACGGTGTGTTGTGTAACCAAAACATGGTGTGTTATGCAACCAAAGCATGGTGTGTTATGTAACCAAAACATGGTGTGTTGCAGAGCAACAGAAAACTTGTTTGATTGTTTTAAATTAATCAATGATTGTAGATTTATTATGAGCTGAGCTGATAGAGGGGTAAAGAGAGATTATATATATATATATATATATATATATATATATATATATATATATATATATATATATATATATATATATATATGGTGAGAGAGTGATATAGACTATAGTGAGAGAGGGAGAGAGAAAAGTAATCAAGGGAGTTAGAGAATCATGAA